GAACCGCCCGCACGGGTCACGAGTCGGCCCGCGGTCCCGGTTTTCACGGGTCTGGCTGGTCCGTCCGTCTTGACACCTCTACTTTTGTCTCTTCCTGCATGACTGCTGTCGAGTACTGGTTGTATATATATGTAGTGGAAAAGGTTTATTTATTGCAAAGGAGACATCAGATCAAGTTAGAGGGATCTTATAAAGCATCAACTTTTTTGTTGATAAAGGGTTGCATCAGTAGAAGGAGAGCGATTAGATGAGGTAAGAGATTGTACTGGACATGGGCTTAGTGCACTCCTTGGTGCAAACCACAAATTAATCGCATGCTCATGATCATAAATGTATCAAGTATATACACAGACGCAAATAAATAGCCAATAATATTTAACGAAAAATACAAAATATTTACAGTTATAGCCATATTGTAATACTTAATTCCATGTTTTATTTTTATTGGTATATGGAGATGCACGCATAATCATCAAAGATATTGATGAACAGGAACTATTTAGAAAATATTTTATACATGTCATTATGTACGACAACCTATTATTTTCTAGCCAAATTGTAGTTCTCTCAACTGGCAAAATTGTATAAACTATTTATCCAGAGAACTTGGTGTTACGGGTTTTTTCCAAGTCATCTCCCACATCATTGCCACGTCAAGGGACGAACTGAATACGACCGCCACGTGACGGATGAATTGGGTTCATCCTCCACGGGGCGACGAACTGATTTCACCCTCCGCCACATATTGGACGAATTGATTTTCGCCTCCGCCACGGGGACGAATTGATTTTGTCTCGCCACTTGGTGGACGAACAAAGGCCCGTACTTTGCATCACTTCATTGCAACCGAAACTAAGTCTGAAGTGATGACATCCAAAACGAGATTATCATTCCTGCCACAACTGCTCCACTTCAACCCTATAAACAAGATATTTTATGGAAAGATCTCAAAAACCAAATCCTTAGACTTGATTGATGGGACATATGTCAGACTCCAAAATGTCAAGTCACGCATTATTGTGTCGGCGCATTAAATGAACCCCCCACTCATGGATTGACACCCACGAGAGGACAGCCCTAGATTCAGAGCCATGTGTTCTGCATCCAACGGTTCTTCTCTTATTCCCTTCTCATTACAAATACCCACACTTGCACTATAGAAGTGGTGGGTCCTTGAAAAGAGAGAAAAATACAAGTCTTATATTATCACCATCCCCACATACACCACCACAAACATTATATTCCGGTGAACATCATCGCCGAACGTCCTAGATTTCGTCTACCGACTTACTAACTTGACCGTCGGAGTGGGCTGCCGCTTCCACCTCCACCGGAAAAGGCCATGAGCGATTAACAATATGTTGCTTCGTGTATGGAGGAGCTAACGTGGAAGAACTCTGTTAGCCACGTGTTTGGACCATTTTTTGGGGTCAACACTTTGGCATTGCCTATGTTCCAAAAAATATTTCCCTCAATATGGGTCATTAGGACTTGGACAGGGTTGCATCTATACGTAGGATTTGTGTAGACCACGTCATCTTCTTCGGATGGGCATTAACAAATGTTTATATAAATCTTACTTAATCCTACGCAAATGTCTAGGATAAATTATATAGCCAAATTGATGCATAAGAATATATATGAATATAACTATTGAAAGTTGCGTATAATGGAGTACATTTATCCATAACCATATGTATGTAAAACACAATTTCTCTTACCAAAAATTGTTACAATAATTAGTTATAGTATTTGTATTTGTATTTATGTTATTTTATATTGCTAAAAAGGTTAGAATTGTCATTCGACTTGTTTGGTTCGGATACTTTAGACCTTTTGCTTATTAGATAAATTAAACCTTCGTATTTTCACTTTTGCAAGATAAGCTTGCTAAAAAGGTTAGAATTGTCATTCGACTTGTTTGGGTAGGATACTTTAGAAGATAAATTATACCTTTGTATTTTCACATTTGCAAGATAAGCTTATTTGGTTGAATGAAACCCTAGTTTTCTTTTGCTCTCTTCATTGTTACTTTGCTTTCATTTGCAATATCAACATGATATCAGAGCTTCAATTTATATGAATACTTTATCTTATGGTGTGAATGAAGAAGTATTGATATTATTTACAACTCTCTCGGATCCAACTATCACATACTAATGTTCGGTATTCTTCACCCTATTTTCTTTATTTTTGGATTTAATATTTGTGTGGGCTTTTAGTGTTTATTTGAGATATTATTGTGTTGGTTGTGTGGTATATTTTATGTTGTTCATACTCTTAGTCAAAATTTTACATTTACTACAATTTATTAGGACGTTGTTGTCTGTATTTCAAGCTATTCTCGTGGCACTTGCTTTCAGAGTCTTTTATTTATGTTGACCTCATCTTTAGAGCTATGTGCGTATTCTGATGCTAATTAGGCTATTGACCCAATTGATCGTAAATCCACCACTGATTTTTGTGTACTTTTGAGTGATTCATTTTTCTCTTGAAAGAGTAAGAAGTAAACTGTCATTTTTCAATATTCTATCAAGATTGAGTACTATGTTATGTTATCCACTATCATTAAAATTGCATGGTTGCATTGGTTATTTGCGGATATGAGTCTCACTCTTCCCATTCCAACTCCTATACATTGTGATAATAAAAGTATTATTAAGGTATCTTGCGACTTTGTGTTCTATGAGTGGATGAACCACATTGAAATTGATTGTCATCTCATTCACCACCACCTTCAACATGGCACTATTACACTACCTTTTGTTCCTTCTTTGATGCAGCTTGTAGACCTTTTCATGAAGTCTCACCTAGTTCAGTGATTTTTAGTTTTTTGATTAACAAGCTCTCGTTTCTTCTAACAACCATATTTGAGTTTAGGGGGCTTT